ACATCAGCCGTTTTGGAGTCATCCCCAAAAGACACCAGCCAGGCAAATGGCGCTTGATTCTGAATCTTTCTAGTCCTGATGGTCACAGCGTAAATGATGGTATTAGAAAAGACACTTTCAGGGTTCAATATATGAAAGTGGATGACACTATTGACCGGATTATGTCACTCGGTCGGGGCACTTTGCTTGCGAAGTTTGATGTGGAAAGTGCCTACCGCATTATTCCCGTACACCCTAATGATCTTTATCTTCTTGGCATGCAGTGGCAAGGAAACTACTTTGTGGACATCACCTTACCTTTTGGTTTGCCTTCAGCGCCTTACGTTTTTTCTTCAGTTGCGGACCTGGTGGAATGGGTCCTCAAAAAACAGTATGACGTGAGGTTTCTACTTCATAATCTGGACGATTTCCACACCCTGGGTCCTCCTAATTCTCAGACGTGCCAACGGAACATAGACACCAGTATCCAGCAATTCCAGGATTGGGGGATTCGCCTTCACCCTGACAAGTTGGAGAGCCCTTCCACTATCCTGACTGTTTTAGGCATAGAACTCGATTCTCTCCTATTGCAGGCGCGCCTCCTCCAAGAAAAATCTGATCGTATCCACACAATCCTTGTCTCCTGGTCACAAAAACGCCATTGCACATGGAAGGAGCTGGAGTCTTTAATTGGCAATCTTCAACATGCATGCAAAGTCATCCCTTCTGGTCGCACCTTCCTCCACCGTATGATCAATCTGCTCTCAGCTTTTTGCAGAGAGACCCATCCTATAAGGCTTAATAGATAATTTTCATTTGGATTTGTCGTGGTGGCTCCAATTTTTCCAGTCTCCTCGCTGGGCTCCCATCCCAGATCTTCATGTCTCCTCTGTCGCTGCCGGCTCTGTTGGATACGGGGCTCCCTGGTTCGCAGGGAGATAGTCTCCATTACAAATGCCCTTATCCATTGCCTACAAAGAACTCTTTCTGATTGTTTTTGCAGCTTCCCTGTTGGGTCACCAGTGGTCTGCAATGCGGGTGAAATTCTGTTCTGACAATACAGCAGTGGCCGAGGTGTTGTGGTCCAGGTCATCACGAGATTCGAACTTAAAGGTGCTGCTACGTCACCTTTCCCTATTGGCGGCCCGGCACTCCTTTGCATTTACTGCTCGTCACGTTTCTGGAAAATCAAATGCCATAGTTGACACCATTCCTCGTTTTGAATTTCAGCGGTTCCATCAGCTAGCTCCTTATGCGTCTCCCACAGCAACGCCAGTACCTCCTTTGGTCTTGGCCCAGCTGCCTGTAGTTTAGACCAAAAGTGCCAATTTTATCTCTCCAATGGTCTGGCTCCTTCAACCCGACAGGTGTATCGTTCAGCGCAGCGTCAGTTCATCAATTTCTGTACTTTAGATGGCTATGTCAGTTTAAATGGTTCTTTAATGAACAAACCTTGCTGCGTTTTTGTTCCCACCTAGCGGATCATTTTCATCACTCCTCAATAAAGGTTTATCTCTCGGCAATACGGTCCTTGCACATCGATCAGGGTTTCCTCGATCCCTTGGTGAATTGGCTCCAACTTCAGTGTCCTCTCCGGGGCATTAAGTGCCACCAAGGCTCAACTCTCACACAATGCCAGCCAGTGACACCCGACCTCATGCGGATTATCCAGCGTTCCTTGGATACCCACAACTCGGAGCACGTCATGCTGTGGGCTGCCTGTTGCCTAGGTTTCTTTGGATTCCTAAGGGCTGGGGAGTTATGGTCAACTCCACTTTTGACCCATCCATCCATTTAACCGTTCAGGACTTACAAGTAGATGTTGACGTTAATCCTTCCAGCCTTTGCATGTGCATCAAAAGTTCTAAAAATGACCTGTTTCCCCAGGGATGTTTCATATACCTGGGGCGTGCTCTGTCCAATTTCGGCCATCTTGGCATATTTACATCTTTAAGGGCCGTCATCTGGTCCTCTGTTCATCGACACCCATGGTCGGCCTTTAACTCGTTCTCGTCTGTCTTCCTTCGTCCAGTCTGTGTTACAGGGGGTGGGAATCCCTGGCAGTTTTCAAGCCACAGTTTTCGCATTGGGGCCGCTACGGCAGCTGCGCAATGTGGCATTTCCAGATAACCTTATCAAGACCATGGGCGGGTGGACCAGTGATGCATATTAACTCTACGTTAGAACCCCTGTGGAATCAATTTTGGAAGTTTCTGGGAGGCTGCTTCAGTAACAGGTACCTTATCAAGGGTGGTAGCATACNGGACCAGTGATGCATATTAACTCTACGTTAGAACCCCTGTGGAATCAATTTTGGAAGTTTCTGGGAGGCTGCTTCAGTAACAGGTACCTTATCAAGGGTGGTAGCATACACATACGTTCAGGTGACTTCGGGTTTGGCCGTTATGGGCTTGGGCGTCTCCAAGCCACGAGCCCCTTCTCCGGGCCTTAGTGCCATGGCTCGGAGGTCCCTTCAGCTTGGTGTGGGGGCTCATGTTGGGTTGTGCTGTTGTGCCAGTCATGGGGGCATACTAAAAATTTGCATACTAAAATAACAAGTAACGGAAGTAATTTTGGTTGGCTGATTCGGCAAATGTCAATCAATCAAAAGTGGGTGGAAGACGTTTCGTAGAAGGTCTGTACCAGGTTCTCTTTTTGTTTAGCCTTGCCCACTGGAATGTATTTTACAAAGCAAACCGAAAATAGATCCTGATCTCAGGTTAGTACTGGTGTGACAGCAGCTGTTTGGTTTTCATTCTTCATTTCCACTTCCTCGGTAACTCGTTTTTTCACCACCACTACGCACTTGGTGGAAGATATTTGTTTGAAATTTTCTTCGTTTGGAACTCGTGCGCCGCAAGTGATTATGGATATAACCACGCCAACAGTTTGTCTAAAGTACGAATTTCTTATTCAATAAATGGACGATTTTACTGAAATTTCGTTTACCCACTCCACTAAAAAGATGTATCAATTAAATAAAATAAAATCAATTTAAGAATCACATTACTTCATAATAACGGCGTTGGAAGGGTGTCTGTAAGACGCGGACCGGATACCTGCGGATGGCGGATGCGGATGGGAAAAGGCGGATGGAAAAAAATGCGGATAACAAAAAAAGTAAGAAGGAAAAAACGAGAAATTCGGATGGCAAAAAAAAAATTAAAATAAACAAACAAACAAAGGAAAGAAATCTCTCTTTCAAGTCGCTGTCACATGGTTGAACCCTTCACTTACATACAGAACGTGATGCCAATAGTTGACACAGTTTTGTACCCTGTAATTCCTTTCATTAATGTCACAGAAATAAGAACGCTCCGTTCCTCCTCCTTAAATGCACACATACTTGGTGCACTTCTCCTTTGAGTGATTAGCTTAAGGCTTTGTGTGAATCGGTCTTGTTTAATGAGGGTTTTTCTACAGAAATTCATTTTCAAGCAATATGCCGCACCCTCAACAGAGTCATTTTTCTGGCCTTCGTTCCATTTTCACAGTTTTACGAAAAGCTTCCATCAACATATAAAAAATGCTGATCTGGTGTAGACATAGCTAAAAAATTTATATAGTCTTCTTAAGAATTAGTAGCTTGGTTTTTTTCTGATTTGTAATAATTAAACATCTTTCCATGTAGAAAAGATATGTTTGGTTGCTGCTTCGCAGATAGACTGGAGCGGGCCAAATAATTCGAATATTATATAAATTATTTTCGATTCCGAATTCTGCCCTTCACGCTTTTAAAAACGAGTTTTAAATTGCTCGATACAGATGTTCTAAAAACTAACTGAGGATATGTTTTCGAAACTATTTTGCTAGCAGAAAAATTCGAAACAAAAACAAATGAAACAGAAAGAAATGCGTTTCCAAGCGACACTTTTTTGCGGGAGTTCAATTTCGCAGATTATTTTTACACCTTTTCGGGAAATAATTGTTGCGATTGATCAAGAAGTCTGTTTTTTTCTTTTCAATCTGCTGTATATTTTGCAATTTTAAAAATTCGAACTCATTATTCGTGCACTTATAAATTCCCAAAGGGTAGAACTTGTAAAAAATAAATCCACATGATAGGCGGATCAGGCGGAGTTGATTGGCATCTGCCAAATCGGAACGTTCGGCTTTTTTTCTGGTTGATACTGCAATTTTTTCTGTCTTGAGCCGCTCAAACAAATAAGTCTTGATTTGATTGCCCCGAGAATATTCTTTCTGTAAGTTGAGTACACTATATCCAGTGAGAGCAAAGAAATCATGCCTCCCCTTCTTAGCGTGATAACAATGAAATTCCTAATAAAGTAAATGTTTAAAAAAAAATAGCGATCACTCCCGAAAGTAAAGACAGACTGCTTCGTGAATTACACCGCTTTAGGATGCTGGTATGGTAATATGCTGCATTCTGACCCGTGATTGCAGGGACCATTGGCTCCTTATTTGGTAAAGAGAAGAATATTAAACGGGGCCAGTGCAAAATAAGCGAACCTTTGCTAGCCGATTTTTTGAGCTGTTTACCTTGCCTGCAAACCTTAAGCTAAACACTCAAAGGAGAAGTGCACCAAGTATGTGTGCATTTAAGGAGGAGGAACGGAGCGTCCTTATTTCTGTGACATTAATAAAAGGAATTACAGGGTACAAAATAACTGTGTCAACTATTGGCATCACGTTCTGTATGTAAGTGAAGGGTCCAACCATGTGACAGCTACTTGAAAGAAAGATTTCTTTCCTTAATTGTTTGTTTGTTTATTTTATTTATTTATTTATTTTTTGCCATCCACATTTCTCGCTTTTTTTCTTCTTACTTTTTTTGCTATCCGCATTTTTTTTTCCATCCGCATTTTTCTATCCGCATTTTCCCATCCGCATCCGCCATCCGCAGGTATCCGGTCCGCGTTTTACAGACACCCGCGTTGGAAGTCTAGTAAGCGATATATCATCTCCAAAACAGCCATCGTTATAAAGCCACAACGTCCTGTCGGAATTGAATTCCATTTACGTAAACTGCAAATGAACAAGAATTGAAGGAAGCCACTTACAGTGTACAATGACTGTGGCAGAAGCATGAGCTTTTTTTCCAACTCCATTCCAAGCTGTACACGCATAATCTCCAGCAGTCTCTCTTTGTATGTTATAAATACTGTACGTCTTTCCTTGATACAACACCCTTGAACTGCCAACTTTCGTCCATGTAATGTTCGGAGTTGGATTGCCAGTTGCGTTGCAAGAAAAAGTGATGTTATCTCCTTCGACAACGGTTCTGTTAAATGGTTCTTTATCAATAACACTCTCATCTGGAATCAAAAGAAAAACACTTTGCCATTTACCATAAACACAACTTAAAACACACAGGATAAAGGGCCCACACAGCAAGATATTATCCAATTCATTCATGGATTTCCCTTATTTGAAGCTCTGGATTCGAAATTTGAAAGCAAATTCAGGGCGGGATTCTTGTTTCAAAGTATGCATGGGAGGCAGGATGCCAAAAATTATTAGATTACGGGATTGCACGAAAATTTGGGTCAGGTCAAAGGAGGATAGATCAAGTATCCCATGATGCTTTGCTTCTAAAAGCTTGAAAGTCGCATTGATTCAGTAGTCGCAAGAAGTGGTTAAAACGGGACTTTCAAACGCAAAATTCACACAGTTCAAAGTACTTCAAGGTTAGTTATCTAACTTTCTGTTGATCTATGTTCTATTTTCCTTTTACAAATTATGTCCCTGAATTTCGACACTTAATTTTTTTTTCTTAAAACAACAGTGATTATTTGCTTCATCTATTATGATATAATGAGCATTAGGCCATGGCTAATAAGTATAACCCAGTGTTTATTTAAATCTAACTGTAGAGTCTTATGTTGATGGTTTTCTGTGACCCAACCTGCAGAAAGGATTACAAGAGGCCACTTGCACTAAGAGGTCACGTGACCAATGCGTCATTTTAAGCAATGAGTTGGAATCTTGCTGATGCCAAAAATTGACAGAGCTCATTGAAATTATCTTACACCGGAAATTTGAGAGGAAACGCATTTAAGGGAGAAATTCTACGTCATATTACAAAGTAATATGATTTGTATTGGCCGCCGTGTTGGAGGGCATACTCTTGCCCTCCAACATCGCGGCCAAAACTACTTTATGCTTATATCTTGTTAAATGTTTGATTGTTATGCTCAGATGTGCTGTAAACGTCACCACATCATCTTTCGAAATTTTCCTTAAAGTTTAAGCGCAAAATTTGCGTCCAGAAAGAGGTAATTCATAATTTCAAAAATCACATTTTGGTCACGTGCCCAGCTACGAACTTACTCATTTTAAGAAAATGGTGTGGGTTTGAAAAACCAAATCAATATCATTTTGTTTAAGATATGACCCACTAATCGTTTTTAGAGAGCAAAATCATACAACTTTCATTTTTATAAAAACGAGGTCACATGACCTCTTAGGGCAAATGGCCTAGTCTCTGCATTACTCACTGGAAAACTGAGTCATTTTAGGTTATCCTTGTCGCATTTCAAAGAAGAAACCTCGACTCCATAAAACACTGTCTATGATGATCTTAGGTACCCTGTCAGCAGAGTTGCTTTCTGGCATGGCCTTTAGCATTTACAGTCACTTGCGTCACTTGTCACTGCGTAGTTGGTTTGTTTACAACTACGCGACTGACAAACAATGCAAATAACTTCATAAATGCTAAAAGCTAGGCCAGAAACAAACCTATGCTTCCAGGGAAATCTCAGCAGCTTTTTTATTCCATTTTATTTTAGTCTGCTATATCTATTTTTCTTTTCCTTTGTATGCAACACCATCTAATGTAGATGGTAATCATTGTAATGCAATTCAACAATGTTGTCATCTCATAACTAAAAAATAACCAATCAATTTCATATTGGAGAGCTTTGCCTTCACAGAAGCTAAAGTGGTGGCGTATCCAGCCTCCCCCCTACCTTTAGACCAAACTGGTTTTAACTTTAATGTTATTAAGGTTCTACGATGAACATAATAATACAGATGCTGATAAATATGTTCATAAAACTATCCTGAACAGAGATTTCTCCTCCCTAAATAAATACTGGCTGGAAACTCCATTTTGCTAATATTCCCTGAGTTTGCACTGAAGTTTTTTTTTTTCCACACTAAAGCCAAATGCTCAAAGTAACAACAAAATACAGTTTCCAGTTATTCTGAACTTGTCTGTATGATTAAGAAATAATCCCAAATAAAATATTGTTTTATCTTTACAAATAAATTTTTCTCGTGCATATGATTATTTTTGGTCTTGATTGATTGTGGAGTGCCCTATCCCAGTTAAGATAACCGTGAAAAGAGTTCAAACTTATTGCACACTTTGCTTCAGCAATGGTATAGAAATTCAAAAATATATATTTTGCAATTCATCATTGGGTTACAGACCCACAGGATGAGTGCATATGGGTTTGCTGATGTTATGATACTCAGCAAGTCCAGGTTTTTCTTTGGATGGTCAATGATAACTAACAACTGCTCTCATTGGACTTCAAAAAAAAATTTTATTGATGCAAACATTGCAGGCTGATCACTCCTTCCAAAAAAATATACAAAGAGGTTTATAACATACTGGTTATAAAAGAAGAGATATCCATACAATTAATAACAACTTGATGGTGTAGATACCACTACATTTTATAAAATAGCTAAGATAGTATGCGCGCTCTGATTGGCCGAGAGGAGTGTTTGCATGAGAGTATGTAAACATGGTTGTGGCGTCAAGATGTTTTGCTTTTCGCGCGCTAATCACGCAAGCACGAATTTGAAAAAGTTTGAGTTTACTTTATTTACCCATTCCTTCGTCGGATGAAACTTGGAAAATCATTACAAAGAAGGTGTGTCAATTTTTCTTCGCTTAAGCTGACATTTTAAGTGAGAAAAATCCGTAGTTTGGAAAGCATCTTTTTGAACAACAAGAGCTGATTACGCGTGCAAGACTTCGTGGACAAGACTTTGCGACTGGTAAGAATTTCTCTTTTAATCAGAGCCATACAAAGAGTTTTGCGTTTTTTCTCGGGAAAGTTATTTTATAAAAGCAATAGAAAACTTTTTTCCTGACTTTGCATACCCTCATATAAACACTCGAGGCGTTGGGAGAATTCTCGACAGTTATGCAAACCCTCGACTTCGTCTCGGGTCTGCATAACTGTCTCGAATTCTCCCAACCCCTCTCGTGTTTGTATCAGGTTATGCAAACACGGAAAATGTTTTCTATTGCTTTAGTAAGAAGAATTTTTAATTTAGAATGGCTGTCATTGAGACCAATACAAGTAAGAATTCAAAACAATGAATAAGAAGTGAAGTGTGTAAAAGCGGTTCTCAGTAAAGTTAAGAGAATAATCAAGGGTAAGTTACTTTTAAAAGTCAATGAGAAATCATTTCACAGCACAAATTCGTCTTAAAAGAGCACGAAGCTCCTGATCAAGGACAAGATTACTGGAATGTCCTCGTCGTCTTCAGCATCTTCTTGGTGAAGTCTGCAATCGCAATCACAACAGTCCGTAAAACAACACGATTAATATTTACTATATTTTTCTAGACAAACAAGGTATCTGTTATAACTTTTGACTGCCTCTTACCTGGGATTCTAAGCTGCACATTTTGCCTGATTCAAGGACATGCTCGATGGAAGAACAACCCTGAGGAAAACAACATTTTGCCGCTCCGAAAGAGTTCCGGGCAAACTAACTAACGAGTCCAAACGGACATTTCGGCTGAAGGAAAGGCCAATCAGACAATTTGACCTCAAAAATGTACTCGGTGTCCAAGGAATATAAGTATAACATCGTTGATTATAGGCGGTCATTGGCACTCTCTTCTCTTTCGTGTTCATTCGAAATGAAGGGATCATGTGTTCTCGCCAACTTGATAATATAGTTGAAAGCATTGCATTGTGGGATATGCGATTTAACCTCCTTTGGTCAGGTCATGGGATTAAAGAACCCTATTGGGAGCCTTTGAATGAGACATAGCACAAAAATAACAAAAGAGAACTGATTTAAGTAAGAACGAATAATGAGACTCACACTGTACGTTTACTGTAGCTGTAGCGTTGCTTTGTCTGCCGACTCCATTCCAAGCTGTACATGTGTAATCTCCGGCATTCTGTCTCTGCACGTTAACAAAACCATAAATGTCTCCTAGAAATAACACTGCTTGACTGCCATCTTTTGTCCAAGTTATGTTCGGTGTTGGTTTGCCAGATGCATTACAGTGGAGAGTCACGTTGGTTCCTTCCAAGACTGTTTGATTTAATGGACTGTATGCAACCACAGCAGGATCTTAGAGGAAAGAATTTACAAGCTTTAGGGAAAACAAAGTATGATGATGACGATGATAGCATGATTTCCTTTGAATACGTATACTTATACTTACAATATACTGTGACTATGGCTGACGCCTCAACAGATCCCAGATANATAACACTGCTTGACTGCCATCTTTTGTCCAAGTTATGTTCGGTGTTGGTTTGCCAGATGCATTACAGTGGAGAGTCACGTTGGTTCCTTCCAAGACTGTTTGATTTAATGGACTGTATGCAACCACAGCAGGATCTTAGAGGAAAGAATTTACAAGCTTTAGGGAAAACAAAGTATGATGATGACGATGATAGCATGATTTCCTTTGAATACGTATACTTATACTTACAATATACTGTGACTATGGCTGACGCCTCAACAGATCCCAGATAGTTTGTGATGATGCATTTGTATTTGGTCCCACAATGTGATCTTGTTAGGTTGCCCAGTATCAATTCCTCAGATGAAGACAAAGTTGTGTTACTGCCTCCTTTTGACCATGTAACATTTGGCTTGGGGCTTCCAGTTGCGTTGCAGAATAAAATAGCACTTCTGCCTACAATAGTTGTTGTATTTAAAGGAGCAACCACAATCTCTGGGGCATCTTCATAAAACAAAACATCGAATCAATGACCTAGACAACTAAGACTTAATGTACACGTAAGCATCTTAGCTCTACCCTCTGTTTTCTGGCTTTTTAAAAGCCGAAAATATATTCAGCAATCACTTGCTACTTGCTAAAGAAGCAACGGAAGAACTGTACATTTAGATATGTTACTAAGGAGGGCCTCGTATCCTGAGACATCCAAGGAACTGTTTTGGGAGGCTAGATGTACTATGATAACATCACACCTTTGACATAATGCCACTTACACTGTAGCTTCAAACTCAGATAAATCTCTTTTGTTTACCTCTTTCAAGTTGTCCTTGGCAATCAGCCCACGTGATGATACATGTCTTTACCACAAAATCTCACATAACATCAAGTTTAAGGTTAAGGCAAAAGAATCCGCAGTTTTAAGCGAGACAGCCAGACACGTCGGTAAAGCATGTCAAGAGGTCCACAACACACAGGTGTCCTTTTTTTATTTATGTTACAGAATATTTTTGATGGTTGAGAATTATAAATTATACTTACAATGGACAGTAACATTTGCCACATCTACTGCTGGACTTCCCACTCCATTACTTGCTGTACACTGATACTGGACCATGCTATCAGGGGTACCAGGTCTGCTTACATTTACAATAATCAGTGACGAATTCTGTGAAACCACGCCAGACTGACCAATGCGTACCCAGCGTATCAGTGGGGAAGGAATGCCACTCGTATTGCAAGTTAAAAAAATATTGTCACCTTCCACTACTGTAACAGTCTGAGGAAATACCCTTACAGCTGGGCCAACTGAAAATGAGTTTCATTGACCACAAACATTAGCGCTAAAAATGGTTGTTGCAAAAGAAAATAAGGAACTGGGTCATCAAGGGAGGGAATCCATTACTTTAACGTGCACACTATTACAAGCTATACCCTAAACGTATGTTACAGGTCAAAATAAAATAACATTAAATAAAGGTCCAATTTTTTAAATCTAGGTTGATTCTTAATTTGTTTTGCCTCCTAGCCCTAAATTGGCATAATTCCAAAAAAATGAAACAATACTTTGCTTAACCCATTTGCTCATGGGAATTTTGCTGAAAATCGCACTGTTGGAGCTAATCGAGTGAATTTCTGGTCACTGTCCCGCTATAATGAGCAGACACTGCCAAAAACAACAGTCGAGCACCTTGCAGCAGTCTGTTCCAAAAGCGAAGCATCAGCATCTGAAGTTCAGGCATGCATAGAAAGTAAAATTGCGAGGTGGAAAAACTTTTTAGGAGAGCTTTTTTGATCTTAAGATTAGATGGAAGGGTAGGTTGGTAGTGGGAATTTTAGGATCAACGTTAAATTGGTTTTTGCCTTTTTATCTGGCCTCGTGAATGAATCGTGCTCATTCTGGTCTGGTTTGAAAGATCTCTTCCTCATTCACACGTTTGATGACAATAATGTCCTTGGATGGGTTAACTAAAGTGTAGAATTAATAAGAATCCTGCATTTTAAACTCACCAACAGCAGTTACTCTGACCATAGCACTCTGCCCGGTGCCGACTTGGTTGACAGGAACACAGGTGTACACTCCATCTGCATCAACAGTGATATTGAACACACCTGAGCTGCTGTTACCAATAATGGTGTCATCTAAGTAAAACTGATACAAGTAAGCCAATGGATTGGCATCCGCACTGCAGTTAAGTGACACAGTAGAACCACGCAGCACTGTAGTGTTGGTAGGATCAGCTGTGAGAGCTGTACCAGTTGGTGTATCTAAGAAATACCGAACAGCCAATATTTTACCAAAGTATCCCCGCATAAAACAGCCACTATAATAATGACCCTATTTACACTCGGTAGTAGTTATAGCACAAAAGATAGCCGGGCTAAGCAAACAACCCAAGCAAAAAAATTAATGAAAACATAATAACAAGGGTAAGAACCACCAGGACAAACCACTTGACTATCTACAAGTGCAATTGAGGATTAATCTTGAAACTAGAAAGGAAGAAATCCAGTTAGCAACCAGGGGCGATCCAACACTCTGACTGTTTAGCCAGGGGTGGTTCTCTCCTCAAACTGTGATTCAGCCATTGACTTATTTTTTACTTACAGTATACGTCAACTGTACAGGAGTTGGTGCTGTTGTTCCCAATGCCATTCCAAGCAAGACATTCATAACTGCCAGATCCATTGCTTTTGATGGCTTCAATGACAAGTACCTTGTTTGCTGACACAACTTGCCTTGTACTTTTTCTAATCCACATAATATTTGGAACCGGGTTACCAGTAGCATTACAATAAAGAGTTGCATTATTACCCTCAGTGACTGGAGTAGAACACTGCTGGATGGTTGCAGTAGGTGCATCTAGAAAGCAAACATAAAAAGAATAGTTGGGGATATAAGTTCTGCCAGGGAGTTTGTCAATGTGTAAGTACTCTATGAAATATCTAACAATTTTTAATATATGGAAAAAGCAGAGTCAACTTAGACTTGATCAAAAAGAGCACTTTAAACATGGGTGCCAAGGCCATAGGTTTTTTTAAATTTACTGACTTTTCTGTGATAAATGTAAAATTTTCCTTGACCAACTGCATAAAGAATTAGTCCCGAAAATAGCCTCTTACAGCCGTTCTCTACAACGATTTATTTATCCTTCTGTGAGAAGGATTGATTTCTTGAAAGTGCAACATCAGTGTATTGTTCAATGTCATTAAACAATATGCCATTTTTTATTCCACTCACTGAGATGGCAATAAATATTTTAGTTATCTCTAAATTTCACTTTTTCCTGACTTCTTTCAAAGATGTTTTTTAACCCTCCCTCACTCAAAGTAAAATTCATTCACTTTTCCCTGCCAATGAGGAAATTATTACCCTGACCACTCACCCAACCTGCCGCAACCATGTAAAAAGATTGCATCCATCTCAGTGGAGAAAAGGCACCTCTTTATCAGGGTTGCCACTCATCTGGCGATCATCTGACTTTTCACTCACATGGTCAACATGAAAATGTTTGTGACTTTTTAAAAGAACTTCTTACTTTCCCCTGAGCACAGAAGGCATATCTTGATCGAAGAAAGGTCCTGATTAATCACAGTGCGTGCTCAAAGATAGTATGCAGTCATTACTTACATAGCACTGAAATCATGACAGTAGTTTCCATAAGTCCGAGATAATTCTGCACTTTACATTTGTAAACTGCTCCATTGTCGACTCTCTTCAGAACAGTCAGGTGTAACGTCTGTAAGGTCGACAGTACACTATCATTTCCTTGTTTGGTCCAACTAATGTTTGGTTGTGGATTACCAGTGACATTACAGAAAAGAACAGTTCCCTTGCCTTCATAAAGTTCTTGCTGCGGTGATGGAGTGGAGACAATCTCTGGTGGATCTATTCAAATGAGGAAGAAACTGTAATGCTTTTCACCTTCCCGCACATGGAGATACTAATTTCCATTAAAACTTGTAGATCTAATAGAAATTCATTTCTTCAACATTTTTCCATGGCATTAAAACTGTTAACTCTATCCACACAATTCATCTATGGTTTCCTAAGAACTGCCTAAGAGTTTCAACAAGATTTTCAAAAAATAACAAAACATTAAAATAACAATCAAGGAAGCGAAAAAGAGAAATTCTGCACTGAATGGCAACATGCTTAAGATGACATGGTTCCAATAAAAGCTACCTTTTCTAACTTGAAAGGTGTAAAAACACTTCAGATGCACTGTCTTATGACATTGATATATCCAAAGAAGAACTGACTACAAAAAGACTAAAGCCAAGATAACTTTGGCACATGTCTGTCAATATGTCCAAGTTCATGCATTAAAAATAAGTTTCGGAATGTTTTCAAACCGCAAAGTTAAGATAGAGAGGGAAAGAGAGAGAGGGAAAGTTTCCCTACACATACCTGGAATGTCCTGTCATCTGTGTTCTTCTTTTTTCGGAATTAAAAGGCAACTAATCTGGTGTTGCTAGGTGGTGGAAGCACGACGAACACTTTTATCATGCATTTAGCATTTTAAAAAAGTCTGTTGTCATTGTATGTGCAAACAATTCCGTGAAAACGTTTTAAAGAATGTCCAGGTAGATATCTTTCACAGCAAGATGTCCAGAACCGCCATCATACATCATGACGTTCGCAGTGGCTATTATCTCCACCTTTCGTATTGTATGCTACATGGCTGACAAGTCAACACGACAAGTCGTAACAGTAAATAAAAATCCTTAAAAAAGATCCTTTAAGAGATGTCTTCTTTTGTCTGCTATGTTTTGAGGCTTATCAGAAAAGCTCATATGATCGAATCCTCTCTTTACAACAACAGCATTAGAAAGGAGCATTTTACCAACATACCGCTCAAAAGGCTGGACAGAAAATTAAAAAGAAGAGGTCGATAAGGAAAAATAAGATGTGGGTTGAGGTGGTGTTTAGATAACTCCTGGCAACTGGAAAACGACAGGACATATTTAAACTTGCTGTTAATGGAGGGATGACAAAGCACTACTTTCCTCAAAATAAAATACATCTTGGCTGCATCTATAGGTACAGGAACTTCACCCCAAAAAATAATGACCTCATTTGATATCATACGTTACATGTCATGCAATATTTGAACTTCAACGAGCTTGAAGTAAGATGCTTCTCGTGATAATCAGGCGAAAATGCTCTGTTGTGGGTATAACCATCAAGAAAATTCATGTTTATTCGACAGCTCTGGATGCAAAGTTGGCAAAAGCAAATTAAATAAATCTTTAAAATATTCCACATACGCATGTTTATCAAATTAGGTAATGTTTGTGTTTGTGGTTTTGCCACGTTAATTGTAACCACTAAACTTCAATTCTTAAAGAGAATGCATGGAAAATTTAAGTCAGCTTGATGTTGTACTTACAGTGGACAGTAACATTCGCCACAGCTTTAGCAGGACTCTCCACCCCATTACTGGCTGTACACTGATACTGGATCATACTATCAGGGGTTCCTGGTCTGGTGATATTCACAACACTGATAGATGAACCTTGAGCGAGGACTTCAGAAGCACCAACTTGTATCCATGTTATTACTGGAGCAGGCTTGCCTGAAGCATTGCAGGATAATGACACAATTCCTCCTTC